ATCAGGGAAGGCAAGTATCAAAAGCCTAACTGGGATCCAATATGTTTCTACCTTTAGGAAGAAAGAGGTATCATCTACCCTCACAATGACCCACTGATCGTGGAAGCTCACATAGCCAACTTTGAAGTACGACGAATCCTGGTAGACACGGGGGCTTCGGTCAATATCATGTTTGCTGAAGCTTTCAGGGTACTTAATGTAGCTGAACATTTGCTCGATAGCTCAATTTCCCCTCTGATAAGCTTCTCCAGTGATATCGTGCAACCTTTGGGGAGCATACATTTACCTTTCACCATTGGTATAGGCCCTTACACAGCTACCATTACCACTAACTTCCTGGTGGTTGATTGCCCAACGGTATACAATGTCATCTTCGGACGCACAGGCATCAATGATCTCAAGGCCATGGTATCCACACATATGTTGTTGATGAAATTTCCAACCTCATATGGCAATGGTTACATCAGAGGAGATAAACTTAGTGCACGATCAAGTTACAACACTTCGGTCAAGCAACAGCACCTTCTTATGCCCAAGGAAACCCTTTCTATACATGACCAAGTCATAAAGACTAACCCAGACAAAGCCAACTTGGATCTTCACGGTGGCAACAGTCTACCTGACGATCCTCGAGATGACTCTTTCACCTAGCAAGCACAACCCGCTGAAGAGTTGGAAAATGTCTCTATCTCAAAAGATTATCTGGATCACATGGTGAATATTGGCACCACCTTGTCACCACTCATTTGGTTGGCATTGATCTCTTTTTTGCAAGAGAACACTGAGGTCTTCGCCTGGTCATACGAGGACATGCTAGGTATCTCTCCCGATATCATCTGTCATCGCTTAAGTATTGACCCCAAGACCAAGCCAGTGAGACAGAAGCGTAGATCTTATGACGCTGAATAGTATGAGGCAATGAAGGCAGAAGTTGAAAAACTCAAAGGCATATGTTTTGTCCGCGAAGTCAATTATCCAACGTGGGTAGCAAATGTTGTCCTTGTTAAGAAGAATCCGACCAAGGAAAGTCTCATGCTCCAAAAGGTCTTGTGGAGAATATGTGTCGATTACACCGACCTAAACAAATGATGCCCGAAGGATAGCTTTCCTCTTCCTCTCATAGACAGACTTATAAACTCTACGACAGGGTGTGAACTCCTGAGCTTCATGGATGCTTACTCATGATACAACCAAATCCTCATGAACCCTTCGAACCAAGAACACACAGCCTTCACTACTGATAGGGGACTATATTGCTATAAAGTCATGCCCTTCGGCCTAAAGAATTCAGAAGCGACTTATCAAAGACTGGTCAATTCAATGTTCGCCGAACAGATTGGGAAGAGCATGGAAGTTTACGTTGATGATATGCTAGTCAAGAGCAAACATGCTAACCAACATATCACAAACCTATATGAAACTTTCATCATTCTGAAGAGGTATCGAATGAGGTTGAACCCTAACAAATGTGCCTTCGGCGTACGCTCTGGCAATTCTTAGGCTTCATGATAAGCCAACGAGGCATTGAGGCTAATCCCGAGAAGATCAAAGCAATCATCGACATGAAGGAACTATTGGTATTCAAAGTTTACTAACTCAATACCAAAAATATGTAGGTGATAAGTTTTCTAACTTTATCACACATCTCACTATCACTCTTAATATAATTGGACAAGGGCAAAAAAAGAAGTAAATGAAGAAGCAAACTTTTTGTATTGGACAAACTGCACGGCAAACAAGCAAAACACTTTGATATATTTAATAAGAGTTTTCAAACTCAATTGCTTACAAGCTGAAATGGAAATGGGATTCTGATGGTTTTTTCTAAAGCCTTACAAGAGGCTTAATTATACATGCAAAAGTTACAAACCACTCAAGTGCTTTTTAATAAAAAAATACACACACACATGCAATCAATGATGGTGTTTACCATCTTTTAATAAACAAACATCACAACCTTTCGGCTAGTAGCTCACACTTTCTGAAAAGTGTTCCAACAATTTCTGAAAAGTGTTCCATCACTTTCTGAAAAGTGTTCCACCACTTTCGACCACTGTATTTGATTTAAACTTCCAACACGCCTTCTCAAATCAAAATACCTTCATGCCTAGCATTTCACGCAACAATCGAAATGATTCAACTGGCAGTGGCTTTGTGAAGATGTTAGCTACTTGTTCATTCGTGTGACAATAGACAAGTTCAATTGTCTTTTGCTTCACGTTGTCCCTCAGAAAATGGAACCTGGTATCAATATATTTGCTCCTTCCATGTTGGACTGGATTCCTAGCAAGCTTGATAGTTGAGATGTTATCCACATGAATCACAGTCGATTCCACTTGTGGATGACACATTGACTTCAACAGATTTCTTAACCAAATTGCCTCACACACAGTTGAGGCTACAGCAACGTATTCAGCTTCACACAATGACAAAGCAATAATTGATTGCTTCTTTGAAGTCCATGAGAAAGTTGTTGATCCTAGAAAAAACACATAGCCAGTTGTGCTTTTCCTTTCATCTTGGTCACTTCCCCAATCACTATTTGAATAACCAAATAATTTTGCATCTTCACCAAAATTATAAAACAGACCATAGTTTAGAGTACCTCTTATGTACCTCAAAATTCTCTTGGCAGCCAGCCAATGAGACTCCTTTGGTGTTTCCATGTACCGACTCACGAGTCCAACACCATAAACTATATCAGGTCTTGTGATTGTAAGGTACCTTAGGCTTCCAACCAAGCTTTTGTACACGGTTGAGTTTACAAACTCACCTTCTCCTTCCTTGGACAGCTTCAATCCAGTTGCAACTGGAGTGTTGACAATATTGCACTTGTCCATATTGAATTTCTCCAATATATCTCTCATGTACTTTTGTTGAGAGATGTAGATACCATCACTTTCTTGCTTCACCTCTATGCCAAGAAAATATGACATTAATCCATTGTCAGTCATCTCGAATTCACTGAACATGGATTGCTTGAACTCACAGAACATTGCTTCATTGTTTCATGTAAACAACAAGTCATCTACATAGAGACAAATAATTAAGAACTCCCATTTGGTACCATTCTTCATGTAAACTGAATGCTCGTATGGATATTTCTGAAATCCATTTTGGTGAAGGTAGTTATCAATCCTTGAGTTCCAAGCTCGTGGTGCTTGCTTGAGGCCATACAAAGCCTTATTCAAACGATACACCTTTTCTTCTTCTCCTTGTACTTGAAAGCCTTCTAGTTGTTCCACGTACATTTCTTCCTCAAGTACTCCATTGAGGAAGGCTGACTTGACATCTAGTTGATAAATTTTCCATTTATGATGAGCGGCAAGAGAGATTAGCAATCTTGCCGTGTCAAGTCTTACAACTGGAGCATAGACTTCATCATAGTCCACTCCATACTTTTGTTTGTAGCCCTTTGCTACAAGCCTTGATTTGTACCGATCCACACTCCCATCTGCAGTGCATTTGATCTTGTACACCCACTTGACAGTAATAGCCTTCTGATTTGGTGGGAGCTTTGTCAACTCCCAAGTGTCATTCTTCTCGATGGCATGGATTTCTTCCTTCATGGCTATTCTTCAACGATTTTCTTCTACAACTTTATTGAATGAGAGAGGCTCGTGGTCTATATACAAGCAGAAAAGGTTGGTTTATTCTTCTTCTTCTTCTTATTCTTGTCCATATATATTGGTGAGACTTCTTAGCCTCACTGGAGTTGAGGAGCTGCTTTCTTCACTGGATGTAGAGCCACTCCTTGCATGTCTGTGCAATGGAGTTGTTGTGATTGTTTGAGCAGGCTGTTGCTCGACAGGTGATACAACTTCTGGTTCTTCAAAATCAATGGAGACGATATTCTCTTTATTGACTTCTTTGTTGTTCCACTTCCATGCATCTTCCTCACTGAAGATGACATCTCTACTAACCACTAGTTTACCAGTTAGTGGGTTGTAGAGTTTGTATGCCTTGGACTCTTCACTATAGCCCACAAACACACATTCTTCACCTCGATCATCAAGCTTCCTCATCTTGGCTTCTAGAACTTGAGCATATGCAACACACCCAAAAACTCTTAGGTGTGCAACATTCGGCTTGTATCCACTCCAAGCCTCTTGTGGTGTCATCCTCTTGACATTCTTTGTTGGACATCAATTCAACAAATAAATCGAACAAGCTACAGCTTCTGCCCACAATTCTTTTGGCAAATTCTTCTCTTTAAGCATGGACCTTGTCGTGTCAATGATGGTTCGATTCTTTCTTTCGGTTATCCCATGTTGTTGTGAGGTATAGGCAGCAGTCAGTTGATACCTAATTCCTTGCTCCTTGCAATATGCTTGGAAAGCATTGGAAGTGTACTCTCCACCTCTATCTGATCTCACAGCCACAAGCTTGTGGTTACTTTTAGCTTCTGTGAGTGCCTTGAACTCCTTGAAGACTCTTAAGGCAGCCAACTTCTCCTTGAGAAAATAAACTTAAGTCTTCCTACTAAAATCATCAATGAAGTTAATAAAATACCTATTACCTTCATAAGACATGGGATCCAATGGACCACATATATCCGTGTATACCAACTGCAGTGGTGCCTTTACTCTCCATGTATCACCAACAGGGAACGATAGTCGTGCTTGTTTGCCAAGCACACAACCTTCACATACTTGGTGTGTGGCTTCAATCTGGGGACCATGAACCATTTCTCCACTTGACAATAACTTTAGGCCATTGAAATGAAGATGGCCAAACCGAAGATGCCATTTCCATGATTCATCTTCCATCACACCAATGTTGCAGCTTCCAATCTTTGTGTTCAACTTCAACGGGAACATTCGGTTCTTTGACATTTGAACACGTGCAATAAGCTTTCTCCTTGCATTCTTGAGAGTGAAAATCCTATTCTCCATATGTATAACATACCATTTCTGAAGCAGTTGACCAATGCTCAGAATGTTGCTCTTCATACCTGGTATGTAGTAGGTATCGGAGATGTATTCTTCTCTACCATCCTTCTAGATGATTTTGATCTTTCCTTTGCCTTCAACTAGCAACTTTGAGGAGTCACCAAGACTCACAAATCCATAAGGCCCATTTTTGAGTTTGGCAAAAAACTCTTTCTTTCCACACATGTGGTTGCTTGCACCAGAGTCCAAATACCAAACAACTTGTTGATTCCTGGAATCATGGTTTGCTAGTAAGACTGTAAATTCCTCACCAGTATTTCTACTTGATTCTGCCATGTTGACATGCTCACCATTTTTATATGAACATTCATTGGCATAATGTCCATATTGCTTGCAACTGTGACACTGGATATGCTCCTTTCCTCGAGCAGTTCTCCACTCTTGAGACTGACCTCGATTGTTCATATAGCCTCGACCTCTTCTTCGGCCTCGTCCTCGGCTACGGTTGGATGAACTCCCACGACGTGAGTTCCACTGCCCACAACCTCTATTTGGTTTATCAATATTCAACTTTGACTCCAAAGCTTGCTCTAGCGTTGTAGGGCTTGCATTCTTTTGAATGCGTTGTTCATGAACTAGGAGGGATCCTAGTAGTTCCTCTGCACTCATCGTCTCCAAATTCTTGGATTCCTCAATGGCAGTCACCACATGCTCAAAGTTGGATGTGAGTGACCGAAGGATTTTCTCCATGATACGAACATCGTCAAGCCTCTCGCCATTCTTTTTCATTTGATTCACAATTACAAGTAGTCGAGAGTAGTAGTCTAAAATGTTTTCTCCTTCTTTCATATGAGTAGCCTCAAAATCTGCTCTTAATTATTGAAGCCGAACTTTTTTTACTCGATCTACTCCTTGGCAAATTATGCTTAAAGTGTCCCAAACTTGCTTGCTGGTTGTTGCTTTTGCAATCTTCTCGAACGTTGAATCTTCTAATCCTTGATATAGAAGATACATCGCCATCTTGTCCTTCTTTCGTAAGTTCTTAAGAGTATTCCTTTGATCTACAGTGTAGGCAGCTTCTTGCTCAGTAGTGGGTTCCTTATACCCATTACTGACAACTTCTCATAGGTCATGTGATCCAAACAATGCTTTGAACTGGATGCACCATCTTTCATAATTTTCTTTCTTCAATGTGGGAACCTGGAGCTGCACTAAGTTAAATGCCATAGCTACTGCACTTGCCAGAAAGGTAATCTGGCTCTGATACCAATTGTTGGTATTCAAAGTTTACTAACTCAATACCAAAAATATGTGGGCGATAAGTTTTCTAACTTTATCATACCTCTCACTATCACTCTCAATACAATTGGATAAGTAAAAAAAAAGTAAATGAAGAAGCAAACTTTTTGTGTTGGACAAACTGCACGGCAAACAAGCAAAAGACTTTGATATATTTAATAAGAGTTTTCAAACTCAATTGCTTACAAGCTTAAATGGAAATGAGATTCTGATGGTTTTTCTAAATCCTTACAAGAGGCTTAATTATACATGCAAAAGTTACAAACCACTCAAGTGTTTTTTAATAAAAAAAAATACACACACACATGCAATCAATAATGGTGTTTACCATCTTTTAATAAACAAACATCACAACCTTTCGGCTAGTAGCTCACACTTTCTGAAAAGTGTTCCATCACTTTCTGAAAAATGTTCCACCACTTTCGGCCATTGTATTTGATTTGAACTTCCAACATGAACCGGTAACTTCAAAAGACATCCAGAGCCTTACTGGTAAGGTGGCAGCCTTAACTAGGTTCATCTCTAAAGCCACAGACAGATGTGCTCCTTTTTTTCAAAGCACTTAAGGGAAGTAAAAAGTACATTACATGGACTGATGAATATGCTGAGGCATTCAAGAACCTCAAAGACTACATGAGTAAAGCCACTCTGCTCTTCAAACCTGAGGTTGGTGACACTCTCATTATTTATCTGTCGGTATCGGCTTCAGCAGTAAGTTCCGTTCTCATTCGAAATGATGGTAATATCGAACGGCCTGTCTACTACGCTAACAAGGCCTTAAGATGCGAAGACACGATACTCCAACATTGAGAAATTGGCTCTAGCATTGGTCATGCCTGCTCGAAAACTTCGTCTTTACTTCCAAACACACTTCATCATCGTGCTTACCAATCATCCTCTTTAACAGATACTCCAAAGTCTTGACACTTCCGGGTGAATGATCAAATGGGTGATAGCATTGGGTGAGTTTGACATCTCCTACCAACCATAACCAGCTAAGAAGGGCCAAGCAGTGGCAGACTTCATCGCCGACTTCACATATCATGTTAACATTGTTTCTATGCCTAAAGAAGTGGTTTCATTACCCTCGGAAGCTCAAAAAGTAGAACTAACAGCCCCAGCATGGAGTCTATATGTTGATGGCTCGTCCAACCAACAGGGTTGTGGAGTAGAACTAGTCCTTACGACCCTTGACAAAGTGGCGATGGAGTATGCTCTTCATTTCAAATGCAAGGCATCGAACAATGAGGCCGAATATGAAGCCCTCCTAGCAGGCTTACGTTTGGCCAAACACATTGAGGTTAAACAAATTGATATCTTCAGTGATTCCCAATTGGTGGTTAACCAGGTCACCAACAACTTTGATGCTAAGGATAGCTCCATGGCAGTATATCTGGCACAAACACAATTGTTGCTCAAGCACTTCCATTACTAGATCACCCAAATTCCTCGAGCGGCAAACAGTCATGCAAATGCTTTAGCTTGTCTCACCTCAACAGTGGAAGACAAGATTGGGAGAAAAATTCAGGTCGAATTGTTGGTAGCACCAAGCACAATGGCTGGGGAAATGTGCAACTTACAACAGGGGGATAGTTGGATTACCCCGATTTATAGATTCCTTGCTCATGGCACCCTTCCAAATGACAAAGTCCAAGCTAAGCAGATTCGATACAAGGCTACCTGTTACTTGATTATTAATGACCAACTCTACAAGCGGGGTTTTAACCTACCATACCTAAGATGCCTTACGCCCGCAGAGGCGGAAACTGTCATTCGGGAAATACATGAAAGAGTCTGCGGAGATCATGCTGGATCTTGATCCCTAGCACACAAGGCTTTTCGCCAAGGATATTACTGGCCAATACTCCACCAAGATGCCATCAGACTATCCCGCTCATGTGATAAGTGTCAACGCTACGTAACTATTCCTCACTCCCCTCCCGAGCTGCTCACTCCTATGATCAGCCATTGGCTCTTCGCCCAATGGAGACTTGATTTGATCGGCCTAATGCCTGTAGGGAAGGGCAAGGTTCACTATGCAATTGTTGCAGTTGACTACTTCATAAAGTGATCATTGGCAACCATTACTGAGGCAAAAATAGAAGACTTCGTATGGAAGAACATCATTTGCAGATTTGACATTCCCAATGCGATAGTCACTGACAACGGGCGACAGTTCGACAACAATAAGTTCAGGATGTTCTGCTATAAGTTTAACATCAACTTATGTTTTGCCTCCCCAGCTAATCCCCAGTCTAATTGGCAAGTTAAAGCCATCAACAAAATAATCAAGCGAACTTTGAAAACCAGCTTAGACAAGGCTAAAGGTTGTTGGCCAGAATTTGTACCCCAAGTTCTTTGGTCATATCGCATTTCATATCAGACATCAACAGGAGAAACCCTATTATCACTGGCCTTTGGTACAGAGGCAATTGTCCCAATTGAGCTTGAGCAAGCAACGTTCTGAGTCCAGAACTACGTGCAAAGTAAAAATGACAAACAACTTACCCTCAACTTAGATCTAGTTGAGGAACACAGAAACCAGGCTTACTTGAGGAATGTCACCTACAAGCAGCGCATCTCCAACTACTATGACTTAAGGGTCAAACCTCATTCTTTCAAAGTGGGAGATTGGGTATTGAAGAAAATATTACTCTGCGACAGAGTCCCGAGTGAAGGAACACGTAGTCCAAACTAGGATGGATCGTTTGAAGTTGTTGGCATCAGTCGTCCTGGCTCCTACAAGCTTATAAGTTCTGATGGCAAGACCCTTGGCCATCCATGAAATGTTGATCACTTGAAGTACTATTACAAGTAAACTCACATTGTACAAGTGTTAAGCTTCAGCCGTTCGACATCCTATGTAACGAAAACTATTTGGCATGAATTCAATAAAGAGGTGATTTAGACAACTCGGTCATAATCCTCTTACCTTCCTAGCAATGAAACACTCGGGTTCAAAGCTTCAACATGAATGCTTCCAACATGAAACAAAGTCTAAGTATATGTCAACAAGACTATCCAAATAAACGAATAACTTCACAGTATATTTGTTCAATCATACATTCCAACACATTCATACATAAGCCAACTGTGCTTTGAAAGGGTTCAACATACTTTGTGTCATTCGACACTTATTACAATGTGCCTAGACACCTTGCCCTTATTCTCACCAACCAGGTGATGAAATGTGAAGAAGGAACTCATCTTCATGCCATCAACCAGGTGATGAAATGTACAACCCGTACACTCCTTCATGCCACCAACCAGGTGATGAAATGTACAACCCGTACTCTAATATCATTTAGCAACTTGCCACTCATGCCACCAACCAGGTGAAGAAGGAACTCATCTTCATGCCACCAACCAAGTGATGAAATGTACAACCCTACTCTCCTTCATGTCACCAACCAGGTGATGAAATGTACAACCCGTACTCTAATATCATTTGGCAACTTGTCATTCATGCCACCAACTAGGTGAAAATGGAACGCATCCTCGTGCCACCAACCAGGTGATGAAATGTGATGAAAGGTGATGAATGAACTTACCTTCGTACCACCAACCAAGTGATGAAAGCAACTCACCATTCATTCCACTTACCAGAAGACGAGTGGTACAACTTGTACACGTGAACTCCTAGCATTCACAAATAATCAAAAACCCTCAAGCTAGACAACTCAACTAGGGGAGCACTTATGCCCAACAAGAGTTATAGTCACCAACAAAGTCTTATTGCAAGCCAACAACAAGTTCAGTGCATGGTATACAAAGATCAAGCTATTCAGCCCTGTTGCATCTGCTTCAGACATTTCTCCTCTATAACAATGCAAACACTACAACTCGTAGAAAGGCATATTTTATAATATATAATATGTGTTGGAATGATTATTTTGATAGGAAATTTTTATTATATCATGTGTAGGTAATTTTTACAAACAAATTATCGAAGCCATATCTTTTAGGAAACAACTCTATGGTAATATGAAAAGGAAAAAAAAGGCAAAGGATAACGAAATTGCCGAAAGTTTAAGAGGATCTCTTCATAAATTTTTCTCTACAAAGAATGAGTCAGTTGAAAATTTGAGAGAAAATAATGTTGGTGAAGAGTCACAAAATGTTATTGGGGAGTCTCATGATCATGAAAATAGTAGTGATTTAGAAGAAAATGTTGGTGATGAGTCTCAAGACCATGAAAATGGCGGTGATGTGAATTTAAATGTTGATGATGATCATATTGGTGTAGAGGAAAATATTGAATCTCCTAAACCTATTTTCCATTTAAACATTTATGATCCAAGAGTTTGGGGTGATCTTAATGCAGAAATGAAAGGCTTACTTGTAGAAAAGGGACCAATTCGAGAAACTAATATCATTTATCATAAGGACAAACTCTCTAGAAAATTTTCCTCACACTACTATGATCGAAAATTACCAACGGGTGAAATTTATGATAGGAAATGGCTCGTGTACTCAAAAGAGTTGGATAA